ACTAGTATGGGCTAACCAAACATTGTAATGTATATACCTATAGTTACACTTTTTCACAAAGGATCTACCTCTCCAAGAATGAACCTTGATGAGGCCCCTCCTATTATATATTATCACACAACTGGTTACTCTACAATTTCCTACAAAGGATGGAGTCCAAGTGGCTGACACTTAGTTCATTTTAAAATTAATATAAATTTTATTTTAATGAAAGTTGTATTATCACTCAAGTTAAAATTCTGCTGATGCGAAATAGCATCACTGTGATTTCTGATCACTTTCAAAGGGAAGGGGGAAATTATACATTTTAAGTACTGATTTTTTCAATCACATAGAATTTCTGAGCCTCTAAGCAGGAAAAAGAAATTCCAACCTCTCTTTTAAATTGTGATTTCCTCAAGCATTTGAGAAAACATTTCTTTTCTAAAAATATTTTCAGGTATGAACTCAAGATCATTTCCGCAACCTTCATATATAAAGGTCTTTTATGTAATGTAAAACACACAGATCACTTAACGCCACCAGCATGATCCAGCTTTCCCTGAATTCCTAACAATCTCTTCTGGAAAAAAAAAAAGTCTCATTTTAAACTTTAAGATTTTATTTTCTTTAAGAATTCTTCTGTTAAGAAAACTGGTAAACCTGGTATCTCATACACACTGAAGCTTTATTTTTCAAGTCCTCCTAATGATTAACTCATCTCTAAAATTTTCTGGGAGTGCCCAAATCTTATTTTAGAATCTTTACTATTACAGAGATTGCTGTCCTTAGGATCCATGTGTCTGGAATTATTCCTGATCACTTAATACAAAGCTTGCCAGATCTTCCTGATTTAGAAAACAGCAAACAAACCAAGAAAAAAACAAAAGTAAATTTAACATAAAAAATAGACTTTACTAAAAAGTTCAGTTTGGAAAAAAATCACTGGAGATAAGACAGTTCATAACTATTTCTAAAGATAAAACTTCTTATTTCTAGAGAAATCTGAAGTTCCAGGGATTCCACGTGGGGAAGACAGTGACCCTGTCATTGAAGTTTCAAAGCTCGATTAGCAGTGAAGACAAATTCCACCAATGTTTAAAGTCGAATGGCTGCAGCTGTTACCAGTTTTTGGTTAAGTGTACATCATTTCATGCAATCAAATTATAAGAAGATGGGTGTTTCCATATTGGTGGGCACAATAAAGTTTCTAAAAGACCATGTCTTTGTGTTTTTTATGTGTGTCTGGAAAAATATTTTAGAATGGCACAATGTGAAAATTTTTTGCTTTCTTGATTTAATGTCTCCATGTAAATTTCTAAGAATTATGGATCATTTTCCGCCCAAAAAAAAAGTGATTTAATGGGTATATTTCTCTCTGCATGAATTCATGATTCAATAGGTATGATTATTAGGCTGTACAAAGGTTAAGAAATATGGTGGTAAAAGCAGTAAAGTTGAAAAATATTAAGTGTGAGATATACGATTTAAAGAAGGAAACCAAGGGGGCACCTGGGTGGCTCAGTCGGTTAAGCGTCCGACTTCAGCTCAGGTCATGATCTCACAGTTCGTGGGTTCGAGCCCTGTGTCGAGCTCTGTGCTCACAGCTAGCTCAGAGCCTGGAGCCTGTTTCAGATTCTGTATCTCCCTCTCTCTCTGACCCTCCCCTGCTCATGTTGTCTGTCTCTCTCTCTCAGAAATAAATAAAACATTAAACAAACAAAAAAAAATTAAAGAAGGAAACCAAGATGTAGAAATCAAATAAACAAGTTCACATACAGATCCAAGAAATCGGAGAGGTGAAATAAATTCTGGCATCAACAAAAAACAAAGCTTTATTATTAAACTCTCATCAAAAGAAGAGGGCTACAATGTGCCTGAAAAGAAGAACATACCACCCATTTGAACAGAGAACACGAAAATGTTCTGCAGGATTAATCAGGGCTCTTGTGGGCAATCAGAGAGTTGTCATTTCACATAGCCGTTCCTTTAAAGAAACATCACCCTAGCCCGAACTACAGGCCTCTGTGGTCCAGAGGGACAGAATTCCTTCCCTCCTCTGCGCCTGTGCAAGGCGACCCCTCAGGATGGCTCTCGCGCCATGCTATCACTGTCACGCTTCTCCAGTGACTTGAGGTCGCTAGATGCACTGCACAGCCCAAACACAGTCAAGGATCCTGCCAGATCCGTGGCGTGATGTTGGGCCAGGCTTATGTTTCCTCTCTCCCACAGATGCTGCAGTATTTTCAAAAACGGGGCCAGGCAAGCCCCTTGGTCTCATTTCCTGTGAAGATCCAGCCTAATGGCGACAAAAGAGGTCCAGCCACTATAGTCGAGTAAGGTCATAAATAATATCGGATTACAGATGTTAACAGTTTAAATTTTCTTTGTTTTATGTTAAGGAAGAGAAAGGGCCCATTTCAAAAAGGAAAAAAAAAGTGAGTTCACACCACAGATTGTGACAGATTTATTACTATTTATCATGGTAAATATGTATTGAAGAAAACATATAAATGTCTTTACCTAGCCATAATCACTTGAAAAGAAACCTTTTATTATCCCCAATTTCTTATTATTTGTGAGAAAACTATTCATTCATACTGAAGCAAGTTTTAGAAACATTTTATCAGATACATATTAACTTGAGCTTAAAAAGAAGAATAAACATGACAGAGGTCTAAAAATACTCGAGCAAAGGTGCTACAATGACTATTGCAGACCCTCTCTTTAGATCAAATTAAAATATATATTTCATGCAGTGGAAGGCACATGGATCTTGTTGTAAGTAATAAGCAATCCAATACATACAACAAAGCTAATATAAACTAAGTTACATTGCTATTAAAACGGAGCTGAGATTTTTTTTAAAGTAATGACAATTAATAGATGACTGGATTCTGAAATCGACCAAACTAAGTTATTCTTCTTGCTTAAAAAAAGAAAAATCAAAAAAATAACAAGGCTAGAATATCTATTTCAACTGAATTTTCCTCCTTGTCTTTAAAAAAACAGGCTCTACTTATGAGAATGTTCCTTAAGGACCATTAAAACATTTAGCCAAGATAAATTCTCTAAGAGGAATGAATCTTAAAGTGACCATCAAAAGCCAAAAATTAAATAATACAAATTAAATTTCCTATTCTAGATCTACAGCAAAGAAAGGGAAGATACCTTTGTATTTCTGAACATGTGACAACATATCAACAACACACAAACTGTCAAAATAGCAAAGAAAAAACAGTATCAGTGGAATTTTCTATAGTGGCCAGTTGACTCTAGGGAAATACTTAAAAACTTACAGTGAAGTAGGAGAGATTGTTGTGAGACAACGATTAAGCAGATAGATAATATCTAAGGCCACACCAAAGCACTCCTTAGAAATTGGGTAGATTTCTGCATAAATTTTAGCACTGGGAAAAACAAAGTTCATTTGGCTATGAGGCATAAATAAGGTTCTATAGCTTCGCGTTTTACGGCACGCAACTATTCTATCATTTCAGAACATCCAAAGGTCCACTGATTGTATTTAATACTGTCCGTATTAGGTGCATGCATGTTTCAAATGTAAACAGCTGTGAGAACTATATCATATGAGGTTGTCATAAAAGCTATTAAAAGCTAAAGTTTCATCTACATTAAATCTACCACCAAAAACCAGAGGGGATATTGGTCAATTTTAGTACAGCCCAGAAATTTAAAGAATAAATCACTCAGTACATTTTTAAGTGACTTATTGGTAGTCCAAAGAGACTATTTTATACGCCATTGGCAGTTTTATTTACACAATATTTTTCTATATTTGTGGATAATTTTGTGATGCTTCTTCAACATTACCAAGTCTGTGATAATCAGCTACAAAATTTGTGGGTTTTTTTCCAGATAAGACTCACTCTGATATATTCACTTAATAATTTTTTGGATGAGCTGAACTGAAATCAAGTCAAATACACAGGTGTTTGGGTTAATCTAATCTTAGCACATTTGCAAAACCTATTATTCCCCTAATTTATTAAAAACGAAGTAAAACTAATATGCAAGCATTGATTGGTAATATATTTTCAGAAACCTGAATACCATTGTATTTTAGAGGAGAACTTGCAATAAGGCTCATTGGTATTCTTTATAAAGAATACTAGTGCCCTTAGAATACAGAATTAAATTAAATTAAATCAAAATTATCTACCTCTACATATATAGATCTAAGGAAGGAAGGAAGGAAAAAAGAAGGGAAGGAGGAAACAAGAAGTGGGGGATTCATATTCGTGTTCTGTGTAAGGAGGAAATTACTAGGCAAGGACTGATTCTAAACAAAATTAAATAAAATCATCTAGGAACTCAGATTTGAAAATATGCATAAGAACTGAAAATAAGATACCGCATTTAGTTGGGATCACAACCAACTTTTGCTACGCTGGAGCCTGGAGGGACCTCAGCAAAGCCTGAGTATAGCTCCAGGTAGTAAAAAGACCCAGAATGCTCTTGGTTACAGCTGGATTCTTCTAGTCCTCACCTGGTATATTCCAGACACAAATGGCTACTGATGCAGTTACTTTTGCAGCTTTTATGCAGTAACCTCTCTAGAAAATAGAGACATTCTCTCTGCACTCTGGGCTGAAACCCATGTAAATTTTTCCTAAATCCTCTCCACAAATCTCCTTTCGCATGCAAATCCATAAATCATCATAATACCGACAAAGAATTTAACCAACACATGAAACTAATACTCATTCTCTTGAAAGCCCTGTACAGGTAAAACTCCTCGAACTTCAGGCACCTTTTCAAGGCTCTCTTCAGAGCTTAACCTGCTGAATATCAACACCACCACCCAGTCTTCAGGGTACGCAATTAATCACTCCAACGGGGGTCAGGTGGCTGGATGTGTAGGTCATTCCTACCTCACTCACAGTCTAGGTAAACGGGCTGCTCAGGCGCGTGGAACCTCATTTGCTCCTATATCCCTTGCATCAACACAAAACGGAGCAAAATAAACAATATACAAAGCAGAAACAAGCAGTACTTACTGAAGATGGCAAACCTGGAGGAACTTTTCGAACTTTCTTTGTCTGCACCTCTGAAAGAAAACGAAGAGGCTGTGAGGTCCCCCTGCATGCCTATTTTCCTAACTAAAACAGATTAAACCACGAAGCCATTTAGATTAGACCAGATTTTCTTAAATCGTTACCTTAGCAAAATGTCAGTACCGCTATCATATTTTATTCTGGCAGAAATCGAATTCTGCCTTTTTCACAAAAATCAAGATATTTAACTTTTTTTTTAAGCTTTGATTTTTTTTTTAACTTTCCTTATATGGGCAGCCAAGAGAAAACAAGAAATAAGCATACACCAAAATAGTTCTCTTGCTACTAGGAGTTGTTAACATACCCATCCAATGTACTACCGGGGAGGGTGGTCACGAGCCTGACATTTGAGCAAAATTTTATGGTTTTGGGGGGTGGGGTGAGAATAGGGTGAGAAGGGTGGTATTAAGAAAGAGGGGAAGAAAGAAAAAGACTACCACTAATCACTCAGGCATTCAAACAGGGGAATACCTTACCCAGGGCACTACTGTGAAGAGGCCTCCTTCGGGGGTTATTGCTAGAATACTGATAATACTGGGAACCAGGTTTGGTGGGCGACAGGGTTCCTGGGTTGCCCATATCCATGTCACCTCCAAGGAGACTCTGCTAAAAGGTTCAAAAGGGAAAACAAACATAGAAGGTTAGTTTTTCACATTCACCACCCCCAACTGATTGTTAGTACTTAAACCACCGCAATAAAGAAAACAGCATCTGCCGAGCTGCAACAATTAAAACACAACCAAACAAAAAGAAAAAGAAAAGCGGTCTACGAAGCTAGCCAGAAGTTTGGGATTTTTCAAATTCTTTGCTTTTGAGAGGAAGGTAGAAGGTGATTTCTCTTGAAACAGTACTTTTCATCTTAAGACGACTCCCATTTTGACTGTTTCAGAAGAGGGCATTTATGTAAGAGTCATGTTTTCTTCATCTACACTTAGGCTCATATCTGGGAACGATTCATGCCCTTCCTTCACAAGAACTCAAGAAAGAATCTGATTTTTCGGACGCACACAACTTCCCCCCGGCTGCTCACGTTGGGGATGAGTGTAGAACGCTCCACTCCACTGAGGACTGTGCATCGGCTCGGCATTATCCTCCACGGATTGACACAGCACCCACAGAAGAGAAAATGCCAGCGGTACCGGGAGCAAATTCAAATCTCATGCTAACTTCCGAAATCATAGAAATGGTAGGCATTCTAAGCGAACAGGAACAAATTAGAATGCCCTCTTGAGGACTACTGGAAGTTAAAATACATCCCCACAGATTAAACATTTACCTGAGCACTAGAAAACTTTCACAAATATCATTAACTTATCATGGTGTGATAAATGACTAAACTTTCAAAAATGATGACACACGAAAGATCATATAATAATATTACATTTGCTAAAAACTACGTAAAAACTTACCCATAATATATAAATCGCCTGATTATACTCTGCATTGAACACATTGTTCTTTTAATTAGTCTGATATGCAAGAAAACAAGTGTAGATGCTACCATTTATATTAAGAACAAATTTACTATTTAATAAAGAAATTTTAAAATTAAGTACTAAAAATCTAACTTTATCGTTACTTGTAATCAACTTTTACTGACTGAACTAATTACTGTCCTTGATAAAGTACAGAATGTGTTTTCCCTAATCTAAATTCTAATCACCATGTCACTCACAACAGACTTAGGGATGCTTCACTAACACACTATTCACATGCAAAATACTCTAAATAGGCCAATTATGACTCTGCCCCTGTTCCCTGGTTAACCCGCTGAGAACTGAAAAATTTCACAAGGCAGTCACCAACTAAAACAAAGAGTCCTTGTTTTAAATTAAGACAGTCTTTTTGATTCCTAAATAGCTCAACAAAGTGGCATGTCTTCTAGTGAAAGCAGTTGGTCAAATATGACCCATAAGCTGGAAAATCAAAAATTCAAACCTCCCCTTTCCAGTGCCATATAGCGAAATATCATAAAGAGAACCTCTCTCTTCCAAGGGATTTTTTTTTTTTTTTGTGAGTGCTGGATGAGTAATATATAAAGGACTAATCAGCTACTGACAAGTTTGCCTTCACCGTTTCCAGTTTAAGACTTTTCCAAGGGATACATAATCAACATTACTTTCAAGTAAAACTTTCAGGATGAGATTTTAGTTTTGAAGCTCATTTTGAGCAAAAACTCATTGTGAGTTTCTTCATATCTGCCACAGAAACACCAGATAAAACCAGGTCATTTACCAGATCAAAAATCTGACATCCACATGCTCAATTACTGCCTCTTCCGAACTTAGGGTATCAAAGGGCTACCCAATGACAAACTAAAATACAGAGCTCCTTGGAATAGTTTTCTCTAAACCAGGAATAACATCTATAACCAGCACAACATCACATGATTTCTTTATCATTTTACAAGTGGCGTTCAACAATTTTAGAATCTCAACCTGCAATTTCACTCTTGGTAAATCTTACTAACAAAATCTACATTTAAAGCTCAAGTTTTCTTTGAAATTTCCATCAATAAAGCTGTGAATGATTTAAATCACAGCCTCCTCACAGTCTGGTAAATTTACAAATAAGCCTCCCTTTCATGAAAAAAAAGAGGAGCCTGAAGGAGACATTATTGATAACTTTGTATCTTAGGCAGACATTACTCCTCTGTCTTCATTTTTCTCTTTCTAAAATAACACAAACTCCTCAAACAAGGACTGAACAGATATGTTGAAATGCCCGCTTGTCTTCCTAATGAGCTTAACCACTGCTTAATTCCTGTTGGTGCTGTTGACAAAGGTTTCCACTCCTAAGAAAGTAGATGCATTCAAGAGGTCAACATAAAAACAAACAAGCTTGCTGTACTGTGTTTTAGCAGCCTTCACAACAGAGCTGTGAAAAATATAAAATGATAACTAGAAGATCGCTGACTGGCTGTGGCTGACCTTACTGTTGTTCATGTAAAAGAAAATCGTTTCACGGGCCAGTTGTAAATAAACCAGGCCCCTACACTTCCATGTGCAGCCACATGTACTGTGGATAGTGAACAGAACTAAGACCAGATAGCACTTACATTTAGTGGCTCATGCTGATCCTTTTTTTTTTTTTTAAACAAAGCACATTCCTGTTTCTTTCTTTTTAGACCTGTTTGTTCCTTTTTCTTTTTCTCTCAGACAATAGAATCATTCTTCTAAAGCAACAAAAATAAGCATTTCCTCACACTTAAGGGGGCCCTAATCACCCCCCTAGGGAAAATTAAGATAAAAATATTGTGTTCTTATTTTAGAGTATACTTGTAAAATGAACAATAACCATTTACTATTGTTTGGCCTTTACGTCACACACTTAACTCTCTTTAGCAATGAGAAAGATTTAAAAAAATTTTTCCACTGGCTAAAAAACCTGAGTTTATGAACTTAGAAAGTTAACGGGGTTCAATTTAATAAGGTAAATTGACTATGGCACAAAATGGATGCCTGCATGTACACACACACGTGGGCCCACAAATTAATATTGAATTGAAAAGTTAAGTTTGAAAGCTAAAGTCTATTTTCAAAACTGGGCAAATTCATCTTTGCCTGAAACAAGATTACAAAGGTTTCAGGTTGTTCACTTTGTGCAAGCTCACGCTCTGCGGTTGTGCTGGGTCCCAGGCGAGAGTTGCCCGGGTCTGCCAGGAAACACTGGAAGCGAGATGTGGCATCTCTCAGAGCTAACCTGTAAATCTTAAACCCATAGTTTAGCATTTTCTTTAACTGTCTGCAATGTGAGGAGACGAGCCCTTCCCCTTATTCAGTCCTTACTTTCTTCCAAAGACAAACAATTTTAAGCCTTAAAATACCCTAACCAAATATAATATATGTATTTGATGACTTTGTCAAGTGGGCTTAAATATTTTGGGGTCCACACCCCTACAACTGATTCTTCAGCAGGAAGCTGTTCCCCGTCAGAGCCACTCAAATGCCAAATGCAGCATTCTGTGAGGGTCCTTTTTCCATTGCATTTTTTGTTTGTTTGTTTTACATCAGATCTGGGTCTGGGTCTAACACATTCTCAACACTGCCCTGATTCCTTTGGGGAGGGGGGCGCTTTCTAATATCCTTGATCAACCGCTGAACTTTGCTTATGCAAACTATGAATTAAACTTGAGTAACAGAAAAGCAGCATATATCTCAAATTAGATTTATAACTGAATGGTAATCAAAAATAGAACTAACTGCTTCAAGCTTAAATTATCAACTTTTTTCTTGTTAAACTAAAATCATCTTGCTCTGAACTATTATTTCCTTTCAGTCAGCACTTTAAATGTAATGGGTGGGTGGTACATTTCTAAAAAGGAAGATTATATTTACCCTTAATTATAGATATGAGTGAGATCAGAGTACGATGAATGCTGCTTTTTGGCTTATAATTAATTCATCTAATAGGTGAATGACCTTGAATTTCAGAGTTGGAATCTGGGAGGGAGAGAGAAAGAGAAAAGAAGAAGTAGGAGAAAAAAATCATCTCGGGGGGGGGAGCAAATGGGCCCCAGGGTTCTTAGCGCTTTCTCGGATTTTGCGTCACTCTCGTTACGTTGTGATCCGATATCAGACACAACATCTTGGGGGGATGTTGTAGAACAGAGAAAAGCAGTCTCAGATGAAACCAGATTAAGCTCCTTTTCTGAACTATTGCCAAATGCTTGTGAGTCTAATTCATGTTTGGGTATTCTAGTACTCACACAGCTGCAATTCCATTCTTTCATCACAAACCTAAGTGATGTATAGTGGCTTTGTATGGCGAACTGACTCTATAAAGCCAGGAATTTGGGAAGGCTTTACGTGAGTATGAAAATAAAATTCTGAACCACTATAAAACTTATGAATGCTGGATATTTGTATGGGTACCTAATAGACTGTGCCGTACTAAGTGCAAAATACACACTGAGCAAAATTACCAATTATATTTGTTTAAAACACATTTAAAAAAAATCGCAATGGAGGTCATTTCTCCATAGTGAATTGTGCACAGAATCAGGTTTTCAAAGACACTGCTGAATAAGATTCCTAACAGCCATGGGGAAGTTTTTGCAAATCCCTGTCGAATAGCTACTGCTGAATTTGCCATTTTGACCACAGAAGGGCCATTGCTGACTTACTCTAGTAGCAGGAGGGGGCGATAATTTTGCTGCTGTTGGCACTTACTCCGCAACCCAGAACATATCTCACTGCGAAGGGCAACGAAGAACACAGTATTTCCACCTGTGTCCACTTCTGAACTTCAAAACTTACAACTGAAGGTCAGTCTTTGGACATTCTCTACTTCCGAGACCAGAAGGTCCAGGAATGCACCTTCACAGTTTATTCTGAGTTCTGTCTGATGCTCGGTTTCAGGCGAAAGAGAACCCTGGAAAGTTAGAAGGATAAGATGGCAAGGATAACTTTCACAATAAGGGACTTAACAGATTGTCTTCGTGCTGCAGAGAAATGTAAATGATCGAAATTATCATTTAGCAAAGATTTTTCTTTTAGGGACTTTTGGTCAATGCTCTTTATTTCTACTCTGAACGTACCGTGTACGTTGTAACAAGTCAGAAACCAAACCTCTTGAGGTGCCTGCGTAGGTTCTGTGGGTTAAGA